GTGTGTGTGTGTGTGTGTGTGTGTGTGTGTGTGTGTGTGTGTATATGCCTAAGTGATCTGTCACTATGACACGCACTGACCACCAGGGAGCAGATGCTCAACACAGGAGCTGCCCCCTGGTGGTCAGTGCACTCCAACAGCCAACCTCCCGCAGTTCCTCCCCCCTACTGGTCGTAGTTCCTCCTCCCCCAGCCTGCAGGCCCCAATAGGCCTCGATTGCCAGCCAGGCCTAGGGACCCCACCTGTGCACGAATTCGTGCACTGGGCCTCTAGTATAATATAAAATCCGAAGTAAATTTTATATTCTTGACTACCCCATGTAGAGAAAAAAAAAGTCAAAGTCAACTCAATCTTACAGGCTCTCAAATCCATTTGAAGACAACTTTTCATTAAATTCAGTTAACCAAATTGCCACTAATGAAGAATGAACATTAGTGAAATGATTTGAGAAATCTTCCATCCTTCTGAATGAATGCAATTATTTTGTCAGTTTTTATAATATTTGATAAAAGTGTGTTAAATGGCTACAGTGATGTGTTTGTTTACAGATAGGATTACCCTTGTTTAAGTTCATAAACTACTCCTAATCTGTAGTAGAGTTCTGTTTAGGCTTCAGTATCTTTGAAAAGTGAAATTGTTTGGTCGAATAGTTTTTTTAATAGACATTTTCAAAATATATAAAAGCAGACAGAATAATTTTATGAACCCCTGTGTAAACTTAACCAGTAACTGTCAGTGCATGGTCAATTTTGTTTTATTTTTTCCTTCCCACCCCTGCCCACCTTAACTGGATTGCTTTGAGGAAAATCCTAACATATAATTTCATTTCTAAATTCTTGAATAAATATGTTTTATGGGTATAATTATAAAAAATTATCTTTTTATTTTTGGCAGGACATTTTGGCAATTAGATCATGGCAACCATAGAAGAAATTGCTCATCAAATTATTGAACAACAGATGGGAGAGGTATGGTTAGTTTATAGTTCATTCACTAGTTCACCAAACTACATCAAATGTATATACTAGGTTCTGAAATACAGTGATAAAAGATGGCAATTTTGTCCTCCAAATTCCTCAGGCCAAAATTTTATAGTCATCCTTGACTCTTTCCTTACATTTCACTTCCAGTCTATTCAGCTCATCTTGTCATCTTTCCTTTCTTAAGATATCCCAAATTCAGGTGTCCCCCACCTCCCTAGCCACTTCCCTGTTCTCAGCCAGTATCTCTGCCAATATATAATACCCAAATATTGCCAGTACCTGTGTAATAACATCCTTTTTTCTGGTCTCCCTTAATTCTACTCTTGAACATTCACAGTCTAGTCTTCACACTAAATCTAGAATGATCCTTTTTGAAAAAGATCCTGGCACTCCTCTGCTTCATAAACCCTCCAGTGTATCTCCAGTTCACACAGTAGGAAATCCAGAACTTGTAAAGCTTGATGAAAACAAAAATTTTGTTTATTGCTCTATTCTAGGACCCAGAACAAACAGTGCTTTGCAAATAGAATATACCCAGTGTATGCTTGTCTAAATGGAAGGTGAAAGGGAAGGGGAAGGAAGAAATCAAAATAGTGAGGTCTAAATGTTCTTACTATTGTACCTTTATTTATTTTTACATTTGTTTATTTCTGTAAGATAGGGTTTCAGGAAGTAGAATTGCTAATTTAAAAGGTGTGTATGTGTATTATATTGAATATATATGTGATGAACTGGCAGCAGCAGTTCTTGGGTGACACACCCTGGAACCAGAGAGGAGGGAGCCCGATTCCAGGGTGCGTCACTCAAGAACTGCCCTCTCACAATCCGGTACCCCTTGGGGGATGTCAGAAAGCCAGTTTCGGCCCGATCCCCGCAGGCCAGGCTGAGGGACCCCACCTGCTGGAGGGACCCCGCTCACACTGCAGAGCCCTTCAAGCCATGGTGCTGCCCCAGGTGCGGCTGACTGGGGAGGGACCATGGGAGGTTGGCTCCAGGGCATGTCCGGCCCATCTTGCCCAGTCACGCCCCACTGGCCACCTTGTAATTAATTTCCTTTCAATGTGCACGAATCTGTGCACCAGGGCACTAGTATTGAATATATGTGTGATGGGTATGCTTTTCCAGCTTTGTCTGAAGGTATGACAAAATTGTGTTCTTTGAGAGAGGAAAAATTGATTTGATTTGATTTGATTTGATTATTAATTTTACATGATTGTGTTAGGTTGTTACAGAGCAGCAAACTGGCCAAAAAATCCAGATTGTGACATCACTTGATCATAACACACAAGGCAAGCAGTTCATTCTGACAAATCACGATGTCTCTACTCCAAGCAAAGTCATTCTGGCCAGGCAAGATTCCACACCTGGGAAAGTTTTTCTCACAACTCCTGATGCAGCAGGTGTCAACCAGTTATTTTTTACAACTCCTGATTTGTCTGCACAACACCTCCAGGTAAATAACACAGTGTGTCTTTGTATCTTACACTTGAAAAGAATTAAAAAGCATGTCATAAGTATGCTCTTAGTTACATACAGTAAGATCCACTCTGGCACGTTTAGCAGGAAGGGACTTAATCCTATATAATAAAGACGTAATATGCAAATTAACCCTCACGCCCTCACAAGATGGCTGCCTACGACCAGCCCAGCAGAGGGGTTAGTGAGGGACGACCAAACGACTGAACCAAGCAGGCTGCGTGGGGTGACCAGGCTGGCAGGGGGGTTAGTGAAGATGGCTGCCTACAACCAGGCCGGCAGGGGGGTTAGTGAAGGACAACCAAACAACTGAACAAGCAGACTGCATGGGGTGACCAGGCCGGCAGGGGGGTTAGTGAGGGACGACCAAACAACTGAACAAGCAGGCTGCATGGGGCGACCAGGCCAGCACGGGGTTAGTGAGGGATGACCAAACGACTGAATAAGCAGGCTGTATGGGGCGACCAGGCCGGCAGGAGGGCAGTTGGGGGCGATTAGGCTGGCAAGGGGGGCAGTTAGGGGCAACCAGGCTGGCGGGGGGGCCAGTTGGGGGCGATTAGGCTGGCAAGGGGGGCAGTTAGGGGCGACCAGGCTGGTAGGGGGGGCAGTTGGGGGCGACTAGGCCGGCAGAGGGGAGCAGTTGGGGGCAACCAGGCCGGCAGGGGGGGCAGTTAGGGGCAATCAGCCAGCACGCAGAGGCGGTGAGCGGCGATCAGGCTGGCCGGCGGTGGGGGGGGCAGTAAGGGGCGACCAGGAGGCAGGAAGGTGAGCGATTAGGAGTCTGTGGTCCAGGATTGTGAGAGGGCAGTCGTACATCCCCCGAGGAGTCCCAGATTGGAGAGGGTGCAGGCTGGGCTGAGGAGAGGGACCGCCCCCCCCCTCCGTGCACAGATTTTGTGCACCAGTCCTCTAGTATAGAATATAGAGAGCTCAAAGAATTGTTGCAGGAGGGCTGAAGAAATAGTTTTAGGTCAGGTTTCAAAAAATAACTACTGGAACACACTTGAGAACTACTTCTAAGAGTCCTGCTGCTTCTGCACAGTTAGGAAACTGCCAGATCAGGAGCATCTTCTGCGGCTGCAGTTTCTAGGACCAAGATGCCTGTGCCTTGAACCAGCAGCATCCATATTAACAAGTTGGTATCATAGCTGCTGTTTTTGTCAGTTAGCCTCTTCTGTTGTCATCTACATCTTCGTTGATAAAGCAAGCCATTTACTCTTATGGTCTCCTTTAATATTCAAACTCAGTAGTGTAGTTAGTGTTAATTTTTGCAAATTCTATATTATACTTCAAGAGCCAGTTAGGGCTTTTACACATTGCATGCCTATGGTTATGTAGGTGTTTTTACTTCTGGTTGTTACAATTGAATACAAATATAATGAACCATTAAGTTTGCCTCCAGAGAGATTTTGGGTGAGTGCCCGCTTAAAATTGGATTCCACATTTTTTTAATGAAAAACTGATCAAAGAAAATTCCTTTCAGGATTGAAAAACTCCTAATTCATGAAACACAAAATCTTGCCTATGTATCCTGTTGGATTTTATTCTTTCAGTTACATCATTTTAGAAACTGCTGAGGTAGAAAATGGATAGGAGTCACTAAAAAAATTTATAACATTATACCTACCTTAATTTCTTTATTTTATTAACAAATTTGATTTTTTTGAAGTTTTACGTTAATAGAAATATAAGCAGTTAGTATGCAGAGTTCCGATATAACCTCCCAACACACAGTTTCTCCTGTTTTAACATTTTGCATTAGGATGACACATTTGTTATAATTAATGAATTAATATTGATACATTATTAACTAAAATAGTTATTTTTATCTTTCCCTGATTTTTACCTAGTATTATTTTTGTTTCAGGATACTATATTGCATTTAGTTGCCATATTTCCTTAGATTCCTCTTACCTATGACCATTTCTCATACTTACCTTGTATTTGATTACCTTGACAGTTTTGCGGTATACTGGTTAGGTAAAATGTAGGTTGCCCCCCTCTGAGACTTTGGCTTATGTTTTTCTCATATTAGATTGGGGTCTTGGGTTTTGGGGAGAAGGATCACAGAGTTTAAGTGCCATTTTCATTACATCATATCAAGGGTACTTACTTACTATCATCACACCTTATGACTGGTGACATTAACCTTGATCTCCTGGCTGAAGAAATATGTGTCAGGTCTTTACTCTTTAAAAAATATTGTATTATGAACATGGAAGTAATGTTGGTATTTTTACTACTTCATGGATTATTGCTAAGGGCAATGAAAGAGAAACAAGTATAGGATGAAATTTCTTGGACCAAGATTTGCTTTCTGGTCTAATAACCTAAGATGGCATATGGGCAAATCCCTTGCCCTCTCAATATCTCTTCTACCCTTAGAAATAAGTAGCAGATAAAATATTAACACCTTTTGCAATAGATGTGTCATTTAGGAAAAGAATGGTATTTGTCTTAGGCGCTTTCAAAGGACATCTAATAGAATTTTTTTTAAAGGTTTTATTGAAGACTGATTTTATGGTAATATAAAAAGAAATGATAGCACTATAACATAACAGGACAGCTATTTTAAGAACTGTTTAAATTTTTTAAAATCAGAATTACTTCTAAAGTCATTCACACCCCTAAGAGAAGAAAAAGTCAAAGTAGAGGGTTACTTTGTGGGTTGTTTTAAAGCAGGGGAAGGTGTTTACTAAATGCTATATCACATTTTTGGGATTGAAATTAATTTGTTCACTTTTCAAAAGATTGAAAGAAAATGATGAAAAGATTGAAGGATAAGCCTAAGAGAAGAAACTAGTATTTCTTTACCAGCATTAGTTGTCCTTAGTGATGAGCTCTTTATATAAAGGAAAGAGGCTTAGTAATTTACCCAAGGCTATTCCATCTAGTCCCACTAACTTGCTACCATTTATCAGAGTCCATGCTCTCCACCACTACACCTAGCCCAAACCTAAGACAGCCCATTAATAAAAAGTTTATTTATACCTTTATCAATTATATTTCCATAATTATAAAGTTAATACAGCAACAAAATTTTTTTCTTTTAAAAATCTAGTTAGTTTTTTATGCTGTCATAGCATATTTTAGTCATGCCATTCCAGTGGAAAGGTTCTAAGCTTTTTAAAGACAAATGTCATGATAAGATTGATAACTGTTGTGATAATTTGACAAGTTCCATATGCATATTAAATGCTTAATCTGTGAAAAGCATTTAAAACTACTTATGTGTTCATTTGTTTAATAGTCATTTACTTTAATGAAGTTGTTATGGAACAAATTAAAAAAGTATTCTTACTGTTGTTGCTTCTTATAACATTGAAATTTTTCCTATATGTTAAGAAAATTACAAATAGTTTAATTGCTATATGCATAATAATAGAGTTTAAAGTTTCAAAATAACTTAAAAAGGAAGCAAAAAATAAGACTGGATGTTCTCTTAATTTTTTACATGAAAAGCATTATTGAGTAATAACATTGTTGTGTTTCGTTTTTGTTTTGGGGGATTTACTTTAGTTCTTAACAGATAATTCTTCTTCAGACCAAGGACCAAATAAGATTTTTGATCTTTGCGTAGTATGTGGAGACAAAGCATCAGGTAACATTAAAAATAATTTCCTATATCTGTTGTGTTGTTAAAATAACTGTCACACTACCATGAAAGTAAAAAGAAAAATAAAGGCGCATGTAGTTTTTATGGTTCATATTTGTAGCTAATGAAATTTACCTGATTTTTCCCCAGAGCTTTTTATTCATGTAAAGATTTTTCTCTTCAATGCAGTTTAATTTGATCTCTCAGTGAAAAAAATTTATATTTCAGAGCATTATGAAAGACAGTTACCATTTTTGTTGTTGTTAATCCTCACCTGAGGATATTTTTCCCATTGATTTTTAGAGAAAGGCGAAGGGAGAGAGGAGAGAATGAGAGAGAGAGAAACATTAATGTGAAAAAGACACATCAATATGGTTTCCTCCCACAAGGTGCAGATCAGGGCCAGGAATCAAATTTGTGTGACACTTCAGTCCAAGGACCGACACTCTAACCACTGAGAAAACTGGCCAGTTTACCTTTTGAAGGTAAACTGAAGGTGTGGAAATTTTTTTTTAATGTGACACCAGTTTTGTCAGAGAATTGGTAAAAATGAGTTGTGATCCTTGGTAATATATAACACTAAGTTGGTAACCTACCTGTTGAGCCCTGTTCTTATTCTAGCAATACAGAGTAACTTGAATTATTGAGGTGGAAAAAGCTCTGGTTAACCTTTATTTAATGCTTTGCATAGCCCATCAGGCATTTCTCCAAACCTGTTACTAGTATTCAGGGCTATGTCATTTTAGTTCTGGCTATTGTTACCTCATGCCAGAAATACAAACCCATGTTCATTCAAATGTATTTATAGGTGCCAGTGTGATATAATTTAAGGGCCCAGTTTGTTTTCTTTAACCCTTTGAGTGCCAACGAATATCCTAGGAACTATGCTAAAATTGCAAAGGCATTTTTGCTGATTTTACAGCAGTTTAGGAAAAAAATTATGAAAATTAGGCAGATAAATGCCAGTGGTCAATTTTAGAACTATAAACATTCGGCATCATAAGTAATTTGCACTTAGGTGCCGTCTGTCAATAAAGAGTGAACAACTAGCATCTAATAGTGATACTGCAGGAGGAGTGCGATAGCACTCCCGGCACTTTTGGGGGAAAGACAGGTGGAGTGCGATCGCACTCCCTGGCACTCTAGAGGTTAATTTTCTTTAAACTAGCCCATAGCTTAATTACAAACATCTTCACTAGAGCTTTACTTAGAATGTGTTCAGTTTATTAATAGATGTTATGCCAAAGAAATGGTTTGTGAAATGATAGGCTAATCAGAGCACTACAGATGCTTCCAGAGTTTTAAAAAATGGAACCTACAGTGGTACATTTATACCATGGAATACTATGCAGCTGTACATAAAGAAGGGTCTCTTACCCTTTGAGACAGCATGGAGGGACCTGAAGAGTATTATGCTAAGTGGAATAAGCCAGTCAGAGAAAGACAAGTATCATATGATCTCACTCATATGTGGAATCTAGTGAACAAAATAAACCCATAGGCATAGAAGCATGGAACAGACTGATGAATCTCAGAGGAAAGATAGGGGTATGTAGGGAGAATTTAACCAAAGAACATACATGCATATATGCATAACCCATGACACAGACAATAGTGTGGTGAAGGCCTGGGCAGAGGGAGTCAATGGAGAAAGAAGGGAGGACATTTGTAATACTTTCAACAATAAAGATAAATTTTAAAAAATTAAAACAAATTTGGTAGACAAAAAAAACATGTGGAACCCACAGCGAGGAGGGATTATTATAGTTCAGATACTAACTGATATTATATCCTTTTTTTGGAGCATAGTTTTGGATTGAAATATGCAGTATATAATAACTAATTTGTGATATCAGAAGTGAAAATAGTTATTACGTTATAAAATTAAAAACACTGGTATTGTTTAATATATCTTATCAGAGAATATGGTTGTTTTCATTTTCTGTTTGGTAACTCCTAAACTCAAACTCAAAAATCTCAGTTTCATCTCATATATGTTGTTTAAAGGGAAGAAATGGGCTTATTTCATTTCTATTCTAAAATATATGACTTTTAAATATTTTGTCTCTAGGACGTCATTATGGAGCAGTAACTTGTGAAGGCTGCAAAGGATTTTTTAAAAGAAGTATCCGAAAAAATTTAGTTTACTCATGTCGAGGATCTAAGGACTGTATTATCAATAAACATCATCGAAACCGCTGTCAATATTGCAGGTTACAGAGATGTATTGCGTTTGGAATGAAACAAGACTGTATGTATTAGTTTTAAAGGAGAAAATTAAGAATTCAGGCAGACTAGAAGTATGTTAAAATTAGCACATTAAAATGTCAATTTTATATGCTTTTTAATTTATAGTTTTCCAACTAAAATTATAGAAATATATACATATGTATTTTTAATTCACACAGCAAATAGTTTTTGAGTGCCTATATGCCAATTGTGTATTTCTAGTTTGAACATGGTAAAAAAAAAAAAAGCATAATTAACTAAGTTTAGTTTTTGGCAGCTATTATTGATTGAGCTCTAACTATGCCTAATAACTTCCTTATTTTCACAGCAAAATTCTATTCAGTAGGTACTACTGTTACCTATTTTACATTTGAGTAAGCAAGTTTAGTAACTTGTTCTAGGTCACAGAACTAATAAGTGGCAAAACTTGGATTTGAATATTGGTAGCTTTCAGTGCACAGGAGGATGCCCAACCATCTGAGCCCCACTGGCCAGGCTTGACTGAGATTATAAAAAATAAATTCATCTACATTTCTACTACAGCAGTGACAGAAAGAGGAAAGAATTCAAAATGGCCACTTTTACATTAATTATTACAGTTTACTAAAGCAGCTTTGTCAAATTTGCAAATAATTTCTAAAGATTGATGGTTGGTTATCTTTGGAGTTCAGTTGTAATAACCATGTCTTCAGTGAGCAGCATTGCTGACCTAGAATTTACATTTATAATTGCCTGTAAATTCTGCATTGTGACAGTCTACCACATTTTTGTAGCTGTTCAGTGTGAAAGAAAACCCATTGAAGTATCACGAGAAAAATCTTCCAACTGTGCCGCTTCAACAGAAAAAATCTACATTCGAAAAGACCTTCGAAGCCCATTAGCTGCAACTCCTACTTTTGTAACAGATAGTGAAACTGCAAGGTATAGTAAATACAACAAACAAAACATTAAGTAGCTGGTCATTTGTTTTTCTTCCCACTGAAACGAAGGCTGAAACTTGTTCTTATTTGTTACAGGTCAGCAGGACTGTTAGATCCAGGAATGTTTGTGAATATTCATCCGTCTGGAATAAAAACTGAGTCCTCTATGCTGATGACACCAGATAAGGTGTGTTTAGTGCAATTAATCTAAAGATTAAACATTTTTAAGCTTTTAAAATGGTTTCCTTTATTTCTATCAATTTAGTCAATTGATTTGGTCCTAAATATTCCCTATTACAAGTTGCTTTTTAAAAAAATATGTAAATTATCAACTGTCTTGTAGTGTCAAATGACAAAATAATCAATTTAGTTAAGAGTTTGATGTCCTTTATTCAAGGAGAAACAACCCATGCATTGGGAGAGAACAGTGTCTCCTCATAAGCAGTGGAACACTCTTCCCCAAGAGAGTTTGGGCAAGAGTGAGTTTTACAGAGCATGAGAGGCAGCAGCAAGGAAACAGCATGATTGGCTGCAAAGTCAGGGATTTCCTCTTAAGGCCAACAGGTCCTCTTTTCCTAGGGTAAGTACAGGCTGGCTTAGTTTACATTTGTGACATAGGCAGAGCCACTATAGCACCCTCCATTTCGTGGCTCTCAGTACTGTAGGAATTAACTTTATTAGTAGAAATATTTATTATTCCACTAGGACAATTATAGCTTCAGTGTGAAAATGACAAACATTAAAAAGTCTTCCAGATTTTTTCATGTTGAAATAAAAGTCATCATAAATAGGTATTTATAATTGAAAAATTTTTAATGTTCCTGCTCAGCCCATGTAGCTCAGTGGTTGAGCTACCCAGGAACCAAGAGTTCACCGGTTCGATTCCAGGTCAGAGCACATGCCTGGGTTGCGGCTTGATCCCCAGTAGGGTGGCGTGCAGGAGGCAGCTAATGGATGTTTCTCATCAATGGATGTTTCTTTGTCTACCCCTTTCCTTACCTGTCTCTCTTAAAAAATTAATGAAAATATTTTTGAAAATTTTAATATTCCTATTATATTTCACTACAGATTGTATAGTGAATTTCTTTTTTTTTTTAATTTTAATTTTTATTTTTTGCTAAAAAGTTCTCTGATGGCTTGTAGTTAGTAATGGATTTTCCAAGATGAATTGAAAATGACTGAGAGAAAATCTCTTTAAAGAATTTCAGAAACAAAATATTTTCAGTGATTAAGACTAAAATAAGCAAGATCATTTAAAAGCAGCCCCCCAACCCTCCCTGGCCTTCCCACTGCAGTTTGACAATCAGTTTGAGGCAGCTCTGCCTCTGTATCTTGTATAGTGAATTTCAACACACCTGAAATTCCTAACACACCTGACTCAAATCACCAACTTGAGTTAAGAGTAGGAATAGGTTTGCAAGAGCTCTCATTATGTATCCAAGTCATCTGGGTTCTCTTAGAGATTTGGAACAGTTCTTTATTGAGCAAGGAGTCTATAGGAATAAAGGTTTGTTTATTTAGATTGAGTATTTAAAAATTCTGTAGTTTTCAGGAACCTTTTATGAGAACAAAAAAAATTTCTCCGGAAGACTCATTTGTGAAAACAGATTTTAGGGAGCCCATGACTTGTTTCTCTTAGCCTGTAATGTTATCTGGTTTTATATACCATGTAAGATTCTTCATCCTATTTATGGTCAGATTTGTTGTATATCTATTGATAAATACTTTAAGACACTCATTTTTTAAAAAAAATTTTATTGAGTTCAGAGAGGAAGGGGAGAGGTAGAGAGATTAAAACATCAATACAAGAGAGAATCACTGATTGGCTGTCTCCGGCACACCCACTACTAGGGATTGAGCCTGTAACTCAGGCGTGTGCCCTGACCCAGAATCAAACCATGACCTCCTTGTTCATAGGTTGACACTCTACCACTGAGCCACACCAGCCAGGGCAAGGCACTCACTCTTAATACTTGTGCTCTTGAGTCTAATTTCAGCTGCCACCTGCTAGGTGCATAACCTTGGGCAAGTTATTTGACCTCTTTGTCTCATTTTCCTTTTTCATCTGTAAAATAGGGATAATGAGAGTGTCAACCTAACAGAATGGGCTTTAGCATGCTGCTACTAAGTGATGAGCTTTGACCTCTTAACATATATTTTGGAGTTAGGAGATTTAGCCTTGTCTAAATGATTCAAAGTTAGATTGCTACTTAGAATTTTATTTGTATACTAGAGGCCCGTCGCAGGAGGATTCCTGCAAGAATAGGGCTTCGCTCCCGTCTCTGCGGCTCCTACCCCGCCCTTCTCTGCCGCTTCTCTCCCTCCTGTCTCCGCTACCTCGGCTCTGTTGCTTGGCTTCCTTCTACGGTGTCTTCAGTCTTCGCTCCCAGCCGGTATATGCAAATTAGCCACCATCTTTGTTGGCAGTTAATTTGCATATCATGCTGATTAGCCAGTGGGAGGTGTAGCGAAGGTATGGTCAATTACCATGTTTGTCTGTTAGATAGGATTAACTCCTTTGGGAAAGGAAAAGAACTAAGTTTTGTTGAGAAATTACTATTTGTCTAGACACTGTACAGTCTATATATCTTTGTATTACATTGTAATACCAACCTTGTGTGGTAAGTTTCTGACAAATGGTCCCCAAACTCTCAAGTCACAGGCTGAGTGAGGTCTTTCCACATTGCCCAAGAGTGGCAAAACTTAAAATTGTAGTTACATAGACTTGTTATGAAATGGAAGAGAATATATGTGTTTAAGTTTTAGTTAAAAAATGTTAATTTTTTTTTTTTTTTTTTGGTTAATCCTCATCCGAGGATATTTTTCCATTGATTTTTAGCGAGAGTGGAAGAGAGAGGGAAAGTCAGAGAGAAACATTGATGTGAGAGAAACACACTGATGGGTTGCCTTCTGCACAAGCCCTGACCAGGGCCTGGGCGAGGGAGGAGCCTGCAACCAAGGTACGTGCCCCTGACCGGAATCGAACCCAAGACCCTTCGGTCCACAGGCTGACGCTCTATCTACTGAGCCAAACCGGCTAGGGCAAATCTTTTACTCATATATAGGAAGGCTACAGCAGAATGGTTAGGAACATGGGTTTTTCCATCAGACCTGGCTTCCCACCCTGCTTCCCCTATCTACTGCTGGAGTGATGATGGATAATTCTTATCATCAATAAAGGGATGATGATTCCTATTTCACAGTGTTAGGATTAAATAAAATATGTAAGTAGTAATCATGCAAGAACTCAGTAACTGGTGGGTTGCTTAGTAATGATTCTGGGACGATTCATTCATTTGGGGAGGACTCAAAAATTATTTCATTCTACTTAGTCACCAAAATTAATTTCACATAAACTAAAGAATTACCATAACAAATGAATCACAGAAACATGTATTCTCTTAGGATTAAGAACACTGAAAACAAAAACCATAAAAGAAGAATAAAAAATACCATTAAGGGATCCTGTCAATACGTCAGAGAAGGCAACTGAAGACCTCTCATTAGGTTAGGATGGAATAATTTGGACATTTAAAAAAGAATGACTAATGGATTGAAAAACATCAAATATATAAAAATCTATGCATTTAAAATGTTACTCAAAACTCACTATTGCCATTAGAGGTTGCTATGACATTGATTTATTCCTCTACAAATTGGAAAATAAAAGGAAGAAGAATCAAGCACTTAACTGCCTTTGCTGTACAAATTATATTTCTGGGTAGTCAGAGTTAAGGAAAGTTGTTTTTAATAAGCTAATTAATATGTAAATATATACAAATATGTGCACCATTAACAAAAATAAAAGCTGAAGGCAAGTGGGAAAATAATGTAATATGTAAAAATAGCCCAGTATCTTAAATATGTAAGATTTTTGAGCTGCACATTTCCTGGTATTTACTACACAGTGCCTAGTAAAAGTTGGCATCCTAGGAATTCTGTTCAATAATACATTTACATTTTTTCCCTCTCTTCACTAATAATAATATTATTATATTCTTTACAATTTTATTACATTCTTTATAATTTCTATTTTATGTTTTGGAAATTATAACTATCAAAATTTAAAAAGGATAATCTAATAGCCTTTTTTTTTATCCTCACCAAGAATAAGTTCTTATTGATTTTAGAGAGAGAGGAAAGGAGAGAGATAGAGGCATTGATGTGAGAGAAACATTGATTGATTGCCTCCCATACTCGCCCCACCGGGTTTCAAACCCACAACCTAGGTACATGCCATGACTGGGAATTTAACCCAAAACCTTTTGGTGTGTATAGGTCGACTCTCCAACCAATTGAACCACCAGGCCAGGTAATTTAATAGCCTTTTAAGTGACTGTGATATGGATGGGTAGGTGAGCCATTAAGTGCCTTTTTTGGTTTGAAGTAATTTTTGTATAACGTATTGTTGAAAACATAGAAAATGTACCTGATGTTTTTAAACATGTATTTTCCTCAACAAGCTTCTAAATGCTCACAGCTCTTTGATTTTACTTTTTAGATTTCATCTTAGAGTACTTTTATTTTGGCATTTCGTAATTTACAACTGGATATTTCAGATTTAAAAGTTGACAGATACCTACTTGCAGAATTTAATTTTTTTTTTTTTTTTTTTTTTTTTTTTTTAAGGCTGATACATGTCAGGGAGATTTAAGTACATTGGCCAGTGTGGTTACATCATTAGCAAATCTTGGAAAAACTAAAGATCTTTTTCAAAATAGTAATAAAATGTCTATGATTGAAGGATTAAGTAATGGTGATGCCTCTTTGTGTGAATTTAATCAAGAAATTCATACCAATGGTGATGTTTCAAGGTAAGGTCTGTTTTGATCTTAAGTGTCCTTTTGTTTAAGTGTCCTTTAGTATTTCTTAAGATATTTTTAGGTTGAATACTATTTATAGAAGTTTCAAAAAACCGTATTTATTTAGGTTTAGAAAATGTAAGGCATAGTCAGTTTTAACTAAAAAATTGCATTCAGATGTAAAATGTTTTCCAGCAGGCTACATTATACATAATGAGCAATAAGTGAATATTATTATATGTTAGAAATGTAGTCATAAAATTCAGGAATTTTTTTCCGCTAAAGATGATTATTTGGGTCTGAAATTTCAGATATAGTTTAGTTGTCAGATTTTATCTTCTGTGTATTTAGAGTTAACCATTTATCTTTATTAGGGAGTCATGTTCATTTTTCCCATCAATTTTTAGTGATGAAATAGATTTAAAGACTTAGTTAAATCAAATTTTTAAGTTACACTTCAGGAAACTCATCAGAATTCTATTTTTCATTCTCTCAATATTAATATTTAGCATGTAGAAATCAGATTTCTTTAGGCTTTTTTCACATTCTTTCCATCACCTCAAATATTGAAGAAACTTCATTTAAGAATCTCATTAAGTACTTTGTTGAACAAGAGGTTTTAAGTAAATCTAGAAGGCATCTCATTAGAAAATATGGAGAACTACTTTGAATAATTATTTACTAACATTAGTTAATTATTTGCTATTCTAATCTCAAATTCTTACCATTTAGATGTAGCTATGTAACCACAAGTTTTAAAATATTCTCTGAATTATAAAATAAAGTTAAAACCTAACTTTATGTTGTGTAGAACACAGTCAGGTCAACGTAAATTCTAGCCCTTGTTCTTTCTAAATAACTGCTATATGTAAAATGAATGAGCTGATATCTTGTAACAAATGTATAACTTGTAAAAGCATATTTTTATACCAAAGTATAAAAATTATACCTCCTTAATTACTTAAGATTTTTTTTAAAGACTAGTTCTCTGATAATACATTAATATATTTTTTCATACATATGAAGTCTTAATTTGTTGCTTTTGGAGAGTCATAGATATCACTGAAATAGAGTGTTCAGTGATACACCAAAGTTTTATTTCCTAAACAGTTTTTAGGCCTAAATCTTAATTCCAGAATTTTATATACAATTTTTATTTTATTGTGGAGATGTCCAAGCTCACAGCTTCTGATGTCTCCTTATAGGGCATTTGACACTCTTGCAAAAGCATTGAATCCCGGAGAGAGCACAGCCTGTCAGAGCTCAGTAGAGGGCATGGAAGGAAACGTACATCTAATTGCTGGAGACTCAAGCATAAATTACATCGAAAAAGAGGGGCCACTTCTCAGCGATTCACATGTAGCTTTCAGGGTATTTCCATATATATATATATTTTTTATAATTTTTATGTTGTATTATCCATTTTGATTTAATCTTCCTTTCAAAAAACAAAGTATATTTGTTGTACTTTTAAAAGTCAGAAATATCCCTGATAGAATTCAAAACAGCAGCTAAAACATATACATCTGCCTATATAAAATAATGGCTTAATAAATCCTGTTTCTAAAGCATAGTTAAAATATTAATTAATGGGTTTCAGTTTATAAAAGTTAGCTTTTAGAACATTTATACATAAGTTGTTGCTTTTTTAAAAAATATATTTTATTTGATTTTTTACAGAGAGGAAGGGAGAGGGATAGAGAGCTAGAAACATCCATGAGAGCGAAACATCGATCAGCTGCCTCCTGCACACCCCCTACTGGGGATGTGCCCGCAACCAAGGTACATGCCCTTGACTGGAATCGAATCTGGGACTCTTCAGTCCACAGGCTGACGCTCCAGCCACTGTGCCAAACTGGTCAGGGCAAGTTGTTGCTTTTTTGACATTAAATATTGGCAATCATGATCTGTCAAATGCACTGGTTTGTTCAATGCCTCGCTACTATTACTTTAGTATAAACCAGTATCTAAGACTCAGATACTCTGCTCTTATCAGAGTAACTGCAGAGAACTCCATTTATTATGTATTACCCCAGTTTGCTAGCTCTCAATTATTTTAAGAAGGTAAAAATCATTTAACACATTTTAACTTTGTGTTAACTTTTAATACTTTAAACATTTTGGAGAAGGTACATTTGTAACTTATTTTCTGCTCCCCTAATATACATAAATTTATGATGGAAACGTTACATTTAGAATACTAGGAGTAATACATATACAACATTAGAAAATAACTTTATAATATTTGATTTGTAGTACAGATGGTTGTCATTCAGCTATAGATATGCTGACCATTGAGGCCCTAATTAAGACCCAGCTGTTTTGACCCTCCATTTTAACCACTTTGTATCTTTGCTCTGCCAGCTAGCTGTGAATACTGTTAGCAAATTATATGCAGTGTTTGGAAGTATGTAGGACATTTAACAATACATAGTAGTTCTGGAATACCTGAGTGTAATTGCTCATAACTTTACTATAGAATACACATTTCCATGGGTTTCTTATGAAAACATATAGTTATCAAGTAGATAACTATATCTATTGAGACTACAGCATACATACACACATCACTGGTAGAAATAATGAGCACAAAATAAATCTAATACTGGCCAAAATTGCATATAATAAAGTTTGTTTATGCAGATTTTAACTACTTGGTAGAAATAGCCACAGAGAAAACACAGTGACTTAAATAATAATTGCTCTAATTTGATAGTCAGTAAAACATCAGTGAAACCAATCTTTATGTAAAATTTTACAAAGATAACATGAAAAAAATTAGAAAAGTTTTATTTGCATTGTACAAGAACACTTTTTAGGAAGGCTATAAGAGGAGGCAATGGGAATAATCAATGTCATCCTTAAAAATATGGTAGGAGCTATGGACAGGGGTGGAGCAAAGCAAAACTGATTTTTCCCATTGCTCTTATTCTAAGTAAAAGATATTTATTAGTTTTATTTCCCCCTTTGGATTTAAATGGGAAGGAAGGGTAAAAGAAGTAGGAAGAGGACCCATTGCAAGGAAAAGGTACTCAAGAATGCTTCTATCGAAAGTAGAAGTAGTTCACCATTTTTGTTGATACTGGTCCTCAGAGTTTTCTTTTTCTTTCAAATATTTGTTTTGGACAAATGAATTAGGCAAATAGGACTTTTTCTTTTTTCCATTTCATCTTTATCCTACTATACTCTGGATATCCTCATAATGAGCACTGTAAAGTTTCTTATTCTCCTGAAGAAAGACAGCTCCTTCTTTCCTTGAATCTTATTTACAGACTCTGTGAAATCAGAGTCTCACTTTTCAGTGACTTCCCAACCTAGTACCTTCAGGGTTAGTTCTTTCCTTGATGTTTTATGGTCATGAGTTTCAAGACATGCCATCTGTAATCAAAAAAATGAATTTTCTCTTGATTGCTGAGCTACTAATAGCATTTTGTCCCTTTCTTGCATTTTTACATACAGTGAGTGTAGTTTGCAGCATGCTTCCACATGCATTCTTTGATTTGAGCCTCACTACAGTCTGTTGAGAAGGTTCATATTTTTATTGTCATTTTCTAAATAAAAAAAGAGATTTGGAGGTTTTTAGTGTCTTGTTCAAAGCAACCCAGACAGTAAGGAGAAATAGTCTAATAATGCTTCTTAAATTTTTATTCTGAAGAATCTAGGACAGCAGCAATATTTAACATTTCTGTTAAACTTCAGAGTTTTTGGTGTGATTTCATATGCTTTGTCTCACTTGATTATTTCAATTTGCTTATACAAATAATCAAGGTGGATACTATTCCCATTTGGAAATAAGTGTTTGAGATAGAGGTAGGTGATTTCCCAAACTGTTCTCTAAAATTTATTATCCAAATATTAGAATCACAATCCTAGTCACCACATTTGCTGTTTGGGAGTTGTTGTCATTTTCCTAGCTTCATTCCCTGACATAATCCTAACCAGTCTATTAGAATTTCTCCCTTTCTCTTCATTTTCAATGCCATATTTCAGGCCTTTTAAATTTTCTTAAAGTGTTATAGTAATATCTTTGCTTACAGTCTCTCTTCTCCATCTTGAGCACTGATAACAAAATAATAATTATTAAAAGTCAATCCAGTTATGTTACTCTGCTACATAAAAACCTTCAATAGCTTCCCATTGCCCATTATTTCTCAGACATGTCATTCTCTTTTTTTAGCCTTTTCTACAGTTCATTCACTTCCCATTTTATTTCTCTATTGAGACTACAGTATACATACAGCACTTAGCTAGGTGGCTCACAATGAACTCTCAATAAATGGTTGCTGAATTAATATGTGATCCAGGGCCACACAGTTAATTAATGACAAGTTGGGAATAGAATCCAGATTTTCTAACTCAAGTCAAATGATGATTATTTTTTTTTTTATAAAATATATTTCTTTATTGATTTCAGAGCGGAAGAGAGAAGGAGAGAGAGATAGAAACATCAATGATGAGAGAGAATCATTGATCGGCTGCCTCCTGCACACCCCTCACTGGGGATTAAGCCGCAACCCGGGCATGTGCCCCTGGCCGGAATTGAACCTGGGACCCTTCAGTCCGCAGGCTGATGCTCTATCCACTGAGCCAAGCCAGCTAGGGCCAAATGATTATTTTAAAGCTATATTATTTAACCCATTATGAAAATTACATATAGAAACTGCTAGAAAGGTAATTATGTAGACAATAACTTGTAAAGTAGGTATCCTAGTTTAATCATGTCTCAACACTCTAAATCAGCAGTTCTCATCCTGTGGGTTGCGACCCCTTTGGGGGTAGAACGACCCTTTCACAGGGGTCGCCTAAGACCATCGGAAAACACATATATAATTACATATTGTTTTTTGATTAATCACTATGCTTTAATTATGTTCAATTTGAAACAATGAAATTGGGAGTCGCCACAACATGAGGAACTGTATTAAAGGGTCGCAACGTAAGGAAGGTTGAGAACCACTGCTCTAAATCACCTCAGCCCTAGTTTGTTTTGCTCAGTGGTTAGAGCATCGGCCTGTGGACTGAAGGTTCCTGGGTTTGATTCCGGTCAAGGGCCGGTAACTTGGTTGCAGGCTCCATCCCGGCCCTGGTCAGGGTGCTTGTGTGAGGCAAGCAATTGATGTGTCTCTCTCACGTCAATGTTTCTCTCTCTCTGTCTCTCTGCCTCCCTTCCACTCTCTTATTTTTTTTAACATATTTTTATTGATTTCAGAGAGGAAGGGAGAGGAAGAAAGAGATAGAAACATCAATGATGAGGGAGAATCATTGATTGGCTGCCTCCTGCACGCCCCCCACTGGGGATCAAGCCTGCAACCTGGGCATGTGCCCTGACCAGGAATGGAACCATGACCTCCTGGTTCATAGGTCAGCACTTAACCACTGAGCCATGCCATTCTCTCTAAAAATCAATGGGAAAATATCCTCAGGTTATTAACAACAACAAATCCTTTGATCTTCTTGGCATCATAGACACCTTTGAGAATTTGTGGAAAGCTATATATCCATTCCCCAGAAAAATATATATGAGCACATCGAGCTTATCCCACCCAGGGTTAGCTACTGCTATCAACTGTGTGGTGTATTTCCTTCTCTCCTTTATTTATATGTGTAAGTTGGATCATCCACATATTGTTTTGCAGTTTTTTCTCTAGGTATCTATGAGATGTTTTTTCTGTGCCATTACATCTCAGTTTATCTTACTAATTTAATGCCTAGAAGGTACTCTATAGATTATTCTTTTCTTCAGTGAAGGAAATTTGGATTCATCAACCTGGTTCATAGGTTGGCACTCAACCACTGAGCCACACTGGCCAGGCAGTGGTCACACATTTAAAATAATTACCTAAGGCCCGGCCAGTGTGCTCAGTGGTTAAGCATCAACTCCTGATCCAAGAGGTCACTTGTTCGATTCCTGGTCAGGGCACACGCCTGGATTATGGGCTTGATCCCCAGTAGGGGGCATACAGGAGGCAGCCAATCGATGTTTCTGTCTCATCGATGTTTCTATCTCTATCCTTCTTCCTCTCTCTTTCAAAAAATAAAATAAAAATCAGTGAAAAACATATTAAAATAACTATCTAAGGTCAGCAGTACAAACTGGAAGCCTGTGAAAATTATGGCCACAGACATACTTGGTTTTACCTGTTGATTAAATGGGGATTTTTTTTTTACACAGAACCTCCTCTTTGAAAAATTGATAGCAGGCATCTGTTTTTCCCATATGTTTTTATTGTGTTGAACTCATGTCACAGCTGTCCCCTTTCTCTGGGAATATGCACTTTGCAGATGGCCTGCTTCAATCAATACTCTCCTGAGCCTATAAGCATTTGAATTTAACTCCATAGCCTCAATGAAAGGAACATTTAACATATACAGGATTGCTCCTTAAAGTGAATTTGTTGTATACTATTGTTTAATAAAGAAAGGGAAGAAAGGAAGAAATTGTTAGACAAAGACAAAAAGTAACTTTTAAAAACAACCAGAGAGCCTAGCTGGCGTGGCTCAGTGGTTGAACATCAACCTATGAACCAGAAGGTCACAGTTCAATTCCCAATCAGGGCACATGCTAGAGTTGTGGCCTCTATCCCCAGAAGGGAATGTATGGGAGGCGGCCAATCAATCATTCTCTCTCATCATTGATATTTCTTTCTCTCCCTCTTCTTTCCTCATTGAATTCAATAAAAGTATATTTTATAAAAATACAACCAGATAATATCATAGTTGGATATTTATTAAGTAGGATTCTGCTTGTCTTAATATTGCTTTGTTAGAAACTATGATCTACTCATTTATTCTAAATCCTATTTTTAGCTGTAAAGTCCAGTGTCTTAGATTATTTCAAGGTTTACCTTTTGGTCAATCTATTAGACTCATGTGTAATAAGTTATGGTTTGCATTTAACTTTTTCAAAGAAATTACACTTTAGGACTGTTGGTCATAAGATAATTTATCTCAATCCCTGTTCACACTAGCTCACCATGCCTTCTCCTATGCCTGAGTACCTGAATGTGCACTATATCGGGGAGTCTGCCTCCAGACTGCTGTTCTTATCGATGCACTGGGCACTTTCTATTCCTTCCTTCCAGGCTTTAGGGTAAGTGTTTTAAAATCTTAAATGTAAATGAGGTTTTGTAGCACAAATGTACATTAAACAAGAACTTTTATTTTGGGAGGATCTGCATTAAAGGAAAAAAAAATGGTACCACATAACTTTAAGTTTTGTCATTGATGTCACAAATCATGGCAACTAGTATTTTTTGTATTATATTTATGTGGAAGAGTATCCATATTTCATGAATTGACTAAGTTAATTTGAAGGGGATATATGCGGTGGAACTAATAAATCATGGCCAGCATTCGTAATAGCCTGTCTCTGAATGACTTAAAGGTAGGGAGCCTATAGGGTTATCCCAGGGTTGTTGTTTTCCTTACACGACTAGTGTTCATCTCAAACATTTTAATAAGGAGCTGAAACTTGTAAGCAGTGAATATGTTTAAAAACAAATAATTGTGTGTGATTGAGGGGAAAAAAAGAAAGAAAATGTAAACCCCTAGTACCACTATGATAATTTAGAATTTTGTTCTTTCTATTGAATAGCACATCTGTATTCTGTTCTGAAGTAATCAGATGTTAAAGGAAATGGTTTACTGTAAGAAACCCAAGCTTTGCCTAAAGTTTGCCAGATTTATTTAGATTGCTTTAAAGTAGCTGGTATGAAGAAACAAAGAGACCATGGAATATCTTAATACCATAGTTAGAAAAGTATTATTCTAGTTACAGGACCCTACTCACCAATACGATTTTGTAAACTTTTCACTTTCATATTCTGTAAATCTGTTTTTCCATTTGCCAAATAAGAATAATAACTGAAGAGTCCATGCCCATCCTTTATCCTTAGGGAATATTTAGAATATAACTAAGAAACATATCTGAATTATTACTTTAAGAGGCATATGTAGAACCCCACTGTAATTTGGTTTATTAATCAACGTTGGCTATACCATGCGTTGATATCTACATTTATACATTAGCAGTTTCTTTTAAAGCATTTACTGTAGTTCTCTAAGCTTGTAATTGGCACACTTGTACCTCGAAAAGTAATCTGATGCTGTTTTTTATAATTAGATATTAATTATTATAGTAAAACAACAACAGGAAGGATTTTGGGGGTAGTGATTTGAACTCCTTGAGTTATTTGTAACATACCGATCTTAAGTACTTCTGTTAAATTAAGTGTGATTATCCTATGGAAATAGTCCAAATGTTGAAGAAAGCAAAAATAAAACCTGAGGTTTCTGATTATAACAGTATAATTTTATAGTGGCATCCACATTTCCCTGTGATCTGTATTAAAAATCTGGTTCAGTGTAACAGCCAATCTAACTGATTCTTTGCAGTTAGACTTACCTACTATTAGTGTAGCTGCTATGTAAGTTCTCTTTATTATCACTAAATAACTTTTAGTTTGAATTAAAAAGATGGATGCCGACTGAGTACTTGTGTTAGTATTTCTATAAAGTACATTATTATAAGTGGAACTGCTGAGTCTAAGAGGTGTACCTTTCCATTTTTGCTAGGTGCTACCAAATTGTCCTCCAAAATGATTTGAGACAGTTTACACTCCCATCAGCAATGTACAAGAATGAATGCTTATTTTCTCACATCCTCATTAATTCTGGATTTTATCCATCTTTTCTGATAAATGAAAAATAGTATCTTATTATCTTTTAGTTTGTTTGAGATTAAAATTTTTCATATTCATATGGCGATTAAAACTATTGATTTTCTTTTCATTTAAACTTTACTTTTAAATAAATTTTAAATGGCCAATTTTTTATGGCAAGTAATTCTTCTCAGGTACTGAATGGAAAAGAGTGATCAGCCTGGAGTAAAAATTTCAGCTGAAGAATTTCCAGTGAGAAAAATTACTTTCTATAACTCTTAAGTTGGCAATATAAGCTTTTGTTTGAGTATATTCAATTCTTAAATAAAATGTAATGTCATAAAGAAGGCTATGTGTTTTAACTTGACAAATGATTTTAGTATATAGGTTTGGGTTTAAAGGTTATTTGATAGGAAAAGAGTCCATGCCCATAGCTTTTCTAACTCTGTTTTTTCTAAATTCTAACTTCTCCCTGTTCTATATCCCCTGAAATCAGAAATCATTTGCTGAATTTCTTCTATATGCCATCTACTGTGCTGTTGACAGAGATACAGACATGAATAAGCCTTCAGTAAGGTTTTAATCTAGTATAGGAGACAGACTCCAAAACCAATAAATTAGAATACCATGAAATAAGTATAAAATATAAATGAATATGTGACACTGAAGGAGGAATGATGAACTATCTTGGGAGAGGAATGTGGTAAGAGAATTTTTTTTTTTTAAAGTGAGCTCTGAGTTATAGATTAAGGGATAGAAAGGATTTAGCCAGTGAAAGGATATTTAAGAGGGGAGGAGGAGTTACATCAGAGGAATTGAGGCATGGGAGGTTCCCCTGTTCTCTTCCCTTGAAGTTACAAGTTGCATAGCTATGATTCAACAAAGGATTCCCAGCTCATCACACAAGCTCGTCTGAGAGATCCATGAATTAAAACATCTGAAGCATTATTAACCATAGCCAAGACATGGAAACAACCGAAGTATCCTTCAATAGATGACTGGATAAAGAAGATGTACATATATACAATGGAATACTACTCAGCCATAAGAAAAAATGAAATACTGCCATTTGCAGCAACATGGATGGATCTTGAACATATCATGCTAAGCAAAATAAGTCAGACAGAAAAACTCAAGAACCATATGATTTCACTCATGTGGGATATAAAACTGAAACTTAGACACAGACAACAGTATGGTAGTTACCGTAGGGGAAGGAGAGTGGAGAGGTAGTAAAGGGTAAAGGGGGTCAAATATAGTGACAAAAGGAGACTTGACTTTGGGTGGTGATCGCACAGTGCAATAGACAGATGTATTATAGAATTGTACACTTGAAACATATAATTTTATTAACCAATGTCACCCCAATAAATTTAAAGGAAAAAGTTAATATAACTGCTGACTCATAAAAAGACCATAGTTTGAAATAAAATGTTTAGAAATTTAAAAAACTAAGGGAGGATAGCATTTATTAATCCACTCAACAGTTTTTGAGTACCTACTACATCCTGGTTCTCACCTCAACAAGTTTGGCCCTTGTTCTTCTTAGATTACTTTTCCCCTAGAATTTGTGTGTGTTTTTTTTAAGTTCTTTTCTGTTTTTCTCTACTCAAATGTCAGGCCCTTAGTAAGGCCTTCCCCAGCTACCTTACCTGAACATGGCCCTCCCATCCCCATTTTCTAATGCAGCATCATACTTTATAGTAATGTAGAATTTTTATTGCCTAAAACTAACTTAATGTATATATAATCATATGTATATGTGTATATATTTATATAAAATATTTAAAATGGCGTATTTATTATGTTGCCCTTCTGCTTCATGAAGGCAGACCTAATCCATGTTGTTTGTTGCTGTTTTTCCAATGCTTCCTACAGTGCCTGGCTTTTTGTACTTTATGTCATGGCCTGTTCACATAATTCTTACATTTGTGCCTCATAATAACTAGATATAGGTTATAGAGTCTGCATTTTATATAGCTAAACAGCCTGAGACTTGGGAGCTTATTTGCCTGATTTCAAATGGATAATAAGTTGATGATCTAGGTTTTAAAACCCTGGTCTCTTGACTCCTATTACTACTTTTTCTATTCTCTCATGCTGAGATTTCTTATTTAGAAATTCAGGAAAAAACTTTTGATCTTTCGTATCCTTCTTACCCCTAGTAAAATCCTTGGTGTCTCATTTATAGAGATAATATCTCATCTGAAACATACTTAAAGAAGAAACCATTTCTCGTAGGAAATTGGTTGTTACCTACCATTAAATAATTTTAATTGCCCATTTTTTTTAAAAAAGAGAGTATTTACCTGCATTAAAGACAAAATAAAACTTGAGAAAAGTTTTTTAAATGCATGCTTTTAATTTTAATATTTTTAAAAACAATCTTTATGCTATCTGTTTCCATGAAATGTGGTATTAAAGCCCCAACTTCTGCAGTTTGAAACTGTTCTTATAAACTGGCTGACTGATTAATGAGCTAGCTAATTAAAGTTCTAAGCCTTTCTCATCAAGTGCTGTCAGGTATACAGAACACAGAATTGATCTAGTTCGTCTTTCTAGAGTAAATTGTACTTCACTAGTATTTTACTATAAAATATATGAGTCAATTGTAAAGTTTATAAAATATATTTTAATAATATCTGATTTGTGTGTGTGTTTTTAATAGGCAGGAAAACAGCATATCATTGGTGAAAGCTTATTGGAATGAACTTTTTACTCTTGGTCTTGCCCAGTGCTGGCAAGTAATGAATGTGGCAACTATATTAGCAACATTTGTCAATTGCCTTCACAGTAGCCTTCAACAAGGTAAAAAGCACTTTATTTCCTTTTCCCAGGATATAAGAGAGGATGTCAGTTTTATAAAGGCTTTTACTATTAAAGTTACATATCTGATGATAATGTTTTAGATGACAACATTCTTTTTACTTTAGATAATTTTTACATTTTGATAATTTCATTTCATTGACCACCAAAAAAATATTTTTGAATATTTAAATTTGTATGTCCCTGACTTGGATAGAGTTGCACCAGATTTGGTGATGCTTGTTTCATGTCAGCCAGGGACCGAGTAACTCCTTGTTTATCCTAGCTTGGCGTTTGGTCTGTGCCCATGCCTGGTTCATGCCCTGGACACTTGAAAAATTTTTTTGAATTTTAAAATGTTTTAAAGCACAACAAAATTGAAACAAGTATATTTAAGTCTGGTTGGCTATTTCTGACCAGGCCTTGTGAATTTTTGTACTTTGGTATAGGTACCAAAGAATCCAGGGTTAGCTTATATAAAGTTGAGTAAATACTTTAAAATGTATTCTTCCAATCAATTTTTAAGTTACCTTTCTTCATTGTAACCCTTTGAATTCCAAGATCTTTTTTGGTCAATTCACCAGGGTATATTCTCTTATTTAAAAAGTACTGAAGAGTCACAAAACAATCCTTCCTCTCTTTTTTCCTTTTCTTGATGCCAAGATAATGACAACTCTCATTCATTTAAGGCAGGGGTTCTCAACCTTCCTAATGCCGTGACCCTTTAATACAGTTCCTCATGTTGTGGTGACCCCCAACCATAAAATTATTTTCATAACTGTAATTTTGCTACTGTTATGAATCGTAATGTAAATATCTGATATGCAGGATGTATTTTCATTGTTACAAATTGAACATAATTAAAGCATAGTGATTAATCACAAAAACAATATGTAATTATATATGTGTTTTCCGATGGTCTTAGGTGACCCCTGTGAAAGGGTCGTTCGAACCCCAAAGGGGTCTCGACCCACAGGTTGAGAACCGCTAATTTAAGGAGTCAGGCAGTCACTGATTTATAAATATTTTACTTCAGAATGACATGTGACTGACCAAAAATGTGCCCCCTCTTCAAATAGAAGCTGTCACTTGCGTTTAGGAATATATAAATTGGGAATTATGTTTTATTTCTTTACCATATTCCATTTCTTACTGTTTTATATGATTTTTAAATTATATGTGTCCTCCTTAAAATTTCATCAGCAGTAGCTCCAGAAAGCAGCACTGCATCCCCATGTTATTTGTGGACTCCTGATCTTGATTGTTTTCTCATAATTTTGTAATGCATTATATACCCTACTCTCACTAAAGCTGTAATTGAGTAATCAGATGTGTTTTAAACATATCCCTCCACAGTAAATTTTACTTAGTCTCCTTTGGTTTTGACAATGGTTTTTTTTTTTGCTAAATATTTTTATTTTAGTAGTGTTGTTAACTTTTTTATTTATTATTATTATTTTTATTAATTTCAGAGTGGAAAGGAGAGGGAGAGAGAATCTTTGATCTGCCACCTCCTGCATGCCCCCTACTGGGGATTGAGCCCACAACGTAGGCAGGTGCAGGCAGGTGCCCTCACTGGGATCCAACCATTCCTGGTTCATAGGTCAACGCTCAAACACTGGGCCACACCAGCTGGGCAGTGTTGTTAACTTTTAAAAATCTAGATGATTTTGCTCACTTTTAAAAATCAATATAAGCTTAAATAAAATCCTGTTACCAAATTTGAATATTTTGAATTTCTTTTGCCAGTTTTTCAGATGATTGTCTTTACAGCTTATTTTTTCAAAGGTGTGTCTTGAAAAGAGAAACATTATGTTTAGGGTTTTTTATACTAACAGCTTGTTTTGTTTTTTCTTGAATGAAGCGTGTCCAAAGATCATTAATTAGTTTCATCTGTACTTGTAGAGATATTGAATTTGAAACATTTACAGATTGGTTATATTTAACGCTGGAAATTAATGGGAAGGAAATATGTTGGATAAAAATAGTCATACATTTTAGCAGAAAATTAGAAGCTTTTGTTTGTTTTTAATTAAAGATAAAATGTCAACAGAAAGAAGAAAATTATTGATGGAGCACATCTTCAAACTCCAGGAGTTTTGCAACAGCATGGTTAAACTCTGTGTTGATGGCTATGAATATGCCTACCTGAAAGCAATAGTGCTCTTCAGTCCAGGTACACAAATAGTGACATCTTATCTAAAATACAGTGTTTGAGCTTGTGGTGAAATTGAATCCCTCATACCCTGCTGGTGGGAATATAAAATGACGTAGTTAAAGTGGAAACAAGTGTTCATCAACAAATGAATAAATAAACCAAATGTAATATATGCATACAATGGAATATCAGTCAGCTATAAAATTAAGTTCTTACACATGGATGAACCTTGAAAACAGTATGCTAAGGGAAAGAAGCCAGTCACAAAAGACCACATATTACATAATTCTATTTAAATGGGATGTCTAGAATAGGCAAATTTTACAGACATAAAGTAGGTTAGTAATTAGTAATTACCAAGGACTAAGGAGAGGGAAGAATAGGCAGTGACTGAATGGTACAGCATTCTTTTGGAGTGACATAAATGTTCTAAAATTATGTTATGGTGATGGTTGCACAGTTCTGTGAATAATCTAAAATAATTGAATTATACACTTTAAATTGGTGAGTTTTATGAATGCTGGACACTTATTTGGATGTGAAAAAAATAAAAGCTAAAACCAGTGAGCAAAATTCCTTCTCCACTTTTGGGATAAACGAAAATAATATCTATTTTAGTAGAACCCATTGGTCTCATTTTTTATTAGATATTAGAATTTGTGTATGAGATAAAATAGTTTTACAGGCTTTAAAGTACAGTGCCTGGTACTTAGTAATATTTATGGAAAGAGCCACACATATGAAGAGGTTTCATTTTTGACTGAACTGTTCTTCTCATTCCCTTCCACCTCTACTCTAGATGTCTTACTAAATGAACATTCAGAAGCAGGATAACAATATATTCTTTCATGTTTCAGACCATCCAGGCCTAGAAAACATGGAACAGATTGAGAAATTTCAGGAAAAGGCTTATGTGGAATTTCAAGATTATATAACCAGAACATATCCAGATGACACCTACAGGTATCTAGAAGTTAAATGCTATTTAACTATATTAATTTTTAACTTTTTTGTGAATCTATTATTTCATTATTTTATATTTCAAGAGTAAATAAAATGTTCTAGTTAAACTTTGAAATAGTTAATGCTATGAAAAGCAGTATGCATTATTGCATGTAGTATTTCATCCATTTCTTGCATTTATATAGAGATGACTTTAGCACACAGAGGTTAAGTAAGTTGCTCAAGATCACAGTAATTGGCAGAGCCTGACTGGATCTAGGTAGTCTGGCAGTAGTGCCCAAACTCTTTGTTTTAAATAAATAACTTTGAGATTTGGCTTATGATATTTCTACTAACGTAGAAATTTTTAAAAAATATTTTATAAGATCAATTAAATTTTTGAAGGACTGTATTGTAGAGTAAACACAATGCCATCGAAGCCAGAGTACCTAGGTTTGACCTCTGATCTTACCTTATTAGCTGTATGACATTGGGCAAGTAGTTTTTAACTTCTCTGTTTCAGTTTCTTCACCTGTAAAATGGAGATAATAATAGTATCCACATTTTACAATTAGTGTAACGCTTAAATCAGTTAATAATGTAAAGAGCTTAGAACAGTGCCTGTTTCATAGCAAGGGCTATAAAAATGTGTTTACTAACATTATTTATTTAATATACTTCAAGCTAGTAAAAGAACATTTCACATATAACAATGTTTTATACGTATTAAATAATAAATATATAAGCCAGTTCCATCGTGAAAATGAGACTTAGTTAACCAGTTCTCTTATCCTGCTTTCTACCAGTTCTGTGGATGCAACTCAGCTGGTGGGAACAAAAGGAACTGAGTAATTTGAGAAATAGGATACATGGCTATATGAAGGTCACTTAATTCTGGGGCTGCTGGTTTCATTTGGTCTCAAGCATTGGAGTGCAAGGCCTTAGACTAAAGTTGTGGTCGGCAAACTGTGGCTCGCGAGCCACATGCGACTCTTTGGCCCCTTGAGTGTGGCTCTTCCTAAGCCTTAGGAGTACCCTAATTAAGTTATTAACAATGTACCTACCTATATAAGTTTAAAAAATTTGGCTCTCAAAAGAAATTTCAATCGTTGTACTGTTGATATTTGGCTCTGTTGACTATTGAGTTTGCCGACCACTGTACTAGAGGCAGGATAAACATTACCACAAGCTTTTTGGAAAGGTGGTTCTTTTGTTGTTGGTTTGTCATGATAATTTTTCAGATTTTTAAAAATGTTTCTAAAGTTGTTTTATGCCTCATTATAAAGTAAGTACAGTATTTACATTTTTTCTTCCTTAGATGTACCATTGTTGGCTGACTTTTGTTTCATTAGATTCCAGGTGCTTTCACTGATCTTTGGAATTATTTTTGAATTTCTTACATTTCTAGTTACTTAAAAATAACAAATTATCTTTCGATAGCAGTTTTCAATGTATAATGTACTTTCTTTCACACAAGATATCCTGCCAAAATTTAAGAACCTCACTATACAGAAACTGGCAGATATTTTAATTTTCACACAAAAAACTGAAGAGAGGCAGGGAGCACATAGCTAGGAGGGCAACTGAATCAAAATGTGAGTCCAGTGATCTTGATTCCATTGTCTTGTGCTTTTCCCAGTAATAACAACCATTGCCTGTTTTACCATTCCCAGTAGTATTTCTTAAAGCAAAATCAAGAAAACTATTATAATTGAGTCTGTATGCCCTGATAACACAAAATATTGCTGTTCTTACAACCTAAAATAAGCTCCTATACCATTTTTAAACGTATAGCTTGAACCGTGGTTTAATGGCATAGCAGTTAAGAGCAAGGCTTGACTATGAAGTCTGTTAGACTGCACTTATATCCAGTTGATTGTCATACACTTTAAAGCTTGAATTCTAAGGTTTTTATTTCAACTTTTGAAAATTAGATCTTTTATTCAATTAGGCCACAAATAATATACATGCAGAAATTACTCATATTTTTCTACTTACTCTCTCTTTGATTTATAATCTTGTCCCCCTCAACTTTCTTTTTTGTTTTTAGGTTGTCCAGACTACTACTCAGATTGCCAGCTTTGAGGTTGATGAATGCTACCATCACTGAAGAATTGTTTTTCAAAGGTCTCATTGGCAATGTACGAATTGACAGTGTTATCCCACATATTTTAAAAATGGAACCTGCAGATTATAACTCACAAATAATTGGTCACAGCATATGAAAGCTGAGCACTCAGTGTAAAATTGTTCTTTCTCAGAACACAAGACACCAAATTGAACTCATGGTTTTCCAGGGCACCTGGAAATTTTGACTTTAAAGAATAACCAAAAACCAAGATATTTTTATTTTTACTTTCTTAAGAAGAATTTTCAAAGTGACTGGGCAGGTAGCAGGAATTAGAGTTTCCTTTCCTGTCTTATTTAAGTGAATAAGAAATACTATGAATTTTTTCTTGGTTAAGATGGTACCTAAAGCTGTCACCTTTTAACTATCTAAACTAAGATCTCTTATATCTTATTTGGTGAAACAAATAAACTAGTTCTTTGTTTTTTTTTTCAGAATTGTGTTCTATTCATGTTTAACTTCATTATGAGCTAGTACAGATACGTAATTGTCAGAAATCTCTGAGGATATCCTTGTATTTTATGCTTCTATAATCTTTTAATTACTTTGTCATAAGATTATGGTCAATGGTGTAATGATAACATTAGAACCAGAGGAAATCATAATTGAAGATATATTTTTTTGTCTTCTGTAAATGTTGTGGCATCCATAGCATAGACCACTCATTGCTGGCAATGAGACAGGATATTCATGATCTTAAGACTTGACTTTTTTAGTGGTGTATATTATTAGTTACAAGCACTTTTTATTTATGTATACAGCAGAAAATTTTTTTTGAGAATAAGATAAGGTTCATGTTTTAATATTTTCAGTTTACTACAGTGTTTTAAAAGTAGTAGAAACTGGTTGAGCCCAAAATGTTTCAGTATTGCAGAAGAGATCTTACAAGTGTTGCTCTTCCATTGCACAGCAAATATCTGTCCTCTCCCTCTTTCCTGATCCGCATTATATAGTTTCCTGACCCTTCCATGGGTGTTAGCCAATTTCTTTTAGGTCATTAGAAATAGTTTGTTAAATAATGGATTTATCATAACCAATCTGTGTTTTCAAGGTGAGTGAAACAATTATTTTAAGGCAGTTAATAGTTTTTAAAAATTAAAATTTTTTAGTATATAAAGCAGTGGTTCTCAACCTTCTGGCCCTTTAAATACAGTTCCTCATGTTGTGACCCAACCATAAAATTATTTTCGTTGCTACTTCATAACTGTAATGTTGCTACTGTTATGAATCGTAATGTAAATACCTGATATGCTGGATGGTCTTAGACGACCCCTGTGAAAGGGTCGTTCGACCGCCAAAGGGGTCACAACCCACAGGTTGAGAACCGCTGATAAAGGAATATGCACTGATTTTTCACTATAAAGAGGGGAGGGCTATTTCAGTATGAGCATCAACCTAAAGCCTTGTTATTGCTACAACAAAAGCATTTTAAATTCCTTGGATGTCTTCCAGAGTAATGTTTTCCATAGCAAACCTAATGCTATTAAATATTTATTTGCTCTGATTTCATGATGATTTGTTTTAGTATGTCTATTTGTTGCTTTGTTATAAAAAACAAAATGGAGATTTCATTGTACTCAGAATACTTCTTTTACTAAGATTTTTGTAATAGAAGAGAAGCTGAATTTGGGGAGGCTGTGGATTTTACTAATTACTACTTGGTAGTAAATCAGAAGTTTAAAAGTATCACTGTACAGTCTTTACCAACTTCCTAAGGGAAATTTTTCCCTACTTAAAACATGATTTTTTTTTTGTCATTAGGTTTATTTATAACATTAGCTGGAGAAAACTACATTTACTATAAAAATACACAAATGGGAAAATTAGTAGGTTTATACCTTTATAATCCAAAGAAGTAAGCCAAGGATTTAGAAATAATGTAATAATGGTCAATTAACACACATGTTTACTGCAGGTGTTTTTCATGATTAAATTTGTAGTTATATTTGGAAGTGTTTTTAGATCTTTATTAAAATGTGACCTGCATTATAAATTTGTTTCCTGACAGTATATTTGATTTCAGAGTTCTATTTGTTGAGGAGTTATCCTTTTGTTTGTTTGCCACATTATTAAGAAATTTCTAGTAAGATTTATTAAAGTACTTCCAGGAAGAGAAAACATTTCCATATCCATTATTTTAGGATTATAATTCAATTTGAAGACTTCTAGCTAAATATTAGATTGACTATTAATTTATTTTCTTGCTCTCCTGAAATCTCAGTAAAATGACAGTAAAGCAGTAAAGTATAACTACATAATGACAAAACAAAAGAGAAGAAATCAAAGGATAAGAGAGTTCAATAAGTTTTTAGAAAACAAAATCCAGGTAGAGAAAGCCAGAATCAAGGACACTCTAATCTGAGTGCCTGCAAAAGGCAATACAGTGAGAAAGACGCCTGTACACCTTGCAGTATCCAGAAAAGATGCTCATTATCTGGAGGACCCAGGTGCTCATATTCAGAGATGGTGCTTGGGACATAAGAAAGAATTGATTGCAAGTCTGTATACAGAATCATTGAGCTATCTTTGTTTATACTTAAGTCAGATGATCACTTTCGTTCCACCCCCCTTTTTTAAATATATTTATTTAAAATAATAAATAAATACATATACACTCAGTGGCCAGATTATTATGACCACCTGACGTTTGTAGGCATATTAGCCGTACACTGCATCGTATGTGATATGGAAGCCGAAGGCCTGTTCAAACACCTTTGCTGTCTGCAGTTACCAAGATAAATCATCATCTCCAATTTGCACAGGAACACAAGGATTGGACAGTCGAGCATTGGAAAAAAGTCATGTGGTCCGATGAATCACATTTCCAGTTGCATCATGCAGATGGCAGAGTGAGAATTTGGCAGAAACAGCATGAAAGCATGCACCCCACATGCATGAGTACAACCCTTCAAGCTGGTGGGGGCAGTGTTATGGTTTGGGGCATGTTTTCCTGGCATGATTTGGGCCCTTTAATTCATGTGGAACAA